AGGATCAACAGAAACGGACTTCTATTCTTTCAAAAATCACGTGCAAAAATGGTGGTTATAGGCTTCGCGCACCATAGAACAAAAGTTGAGTTTGAGCTTGAAAATGAATAAAATCTTACATTGAGTACATATTATTTATAATTTAAATAATGGGTTGTTATATCATGGATTATTAGAATTAAAAACCAATTTTTCCTAAAATATTAATTATAAATGTTTTTTATTCATTATAATTAGTTCTTGATAGATGGACTTCTCCCACTCATGATTCAATATATAATTATGTAATAACTACATCAAGGATAGTTGAAAAGATTGGATTACATAAATTTGCTGCAGTAGTGACAGATTCTGGACCAAATCTAAGAGTAACAAGAAGAATAATAAATGAATCATAGTCACATATTTTGAGTTTTTGATGCAGCAAATTTAATAGCTTCAGATTTTTGTGAATTGGAGTCAATTAAACCAATTATTTCAAATTGTTCTACAATTTTTTCAATCTCATATTGCACATGGTCATTATCAAGAACAGAATGCTTATTTCATACCAATCACATTAGAAGCTCCATCACAAAATGAACTATATTATGATGAGATATTTCACTTGAATTACAAATTAATATAATTTGATTAAAAATATTTTCACCATCAGTTGAATCTGGATTAACCATACCTAAACATCTCATAAATGGTATATTATTGGTGATATATTTTCCTACTATTGCTAGATATTTATCATTGACACTATTAGTTTCATCAATCATTATACTCCAATAAGTTGAGGAATTTAATTCTGCAAAAAGTGATTTTTTTATTACATAAGCTATATTATCTAATTGCTATGACCCCCATATTTTGATTTAGGTGGTGTTAGTTTTTCTAAAGAAGCAGCTTTTAATGAGAAATTTTATCACTGATTATTAATTCTTTATTATTTTCAATTCGTAAAGCATAAATCAGGATAATTATTGATTGAAATACTGTGGTTTGCGCAAAAATAAATATTTTTCATTAATGAATAATTTGTAATTTTTCTTTATTTAATAGTTCTCTGTATTGTATAGATACATTGTAGGGTGTCTCTGATGCATCCATTTGATCCTCACTATTCCATTCACTATCATTTGAGTTAAGAAGTTGCAACTCTGATTCTTTATGTTCATTGGTATTTAAATGTCGTTTAATTCCTTCTAGACTTAAGTCAGTTGTGCCTAATGCAAATTTTGTATTCCCACTTCTATTTCTACAAATTTCACAAAAAAGAAATGTATTTTCATTAATTACTTCAGTTTCTAACCATGTATAATAACAAAGCCAATTTTTATTAACAGTTGTTCTATGATGTGTTTTGTTTTGTTGATTAAACATTTTTAAAATAAATTAATTATAGTAAATAAATTAATTATAATAAATAAATTAATTGATTATAATAAATAAATTTGATTTACAAAAAAAGTTACACGAATTTTCTGCACAAAGCCCCGTCGATTTTTATTGGCCAATATTTGTATAACGTGACACCCCGCATTCCCCGCACTGAATTTTCAACACTGGTCTTCTGTCACGTCTGCTTTTTGGGAATTACTCAGCTCCATGTTGTTAAATTCTCATTGTACATAGGAATCAAATCGGAAATTAAAAAAATTTTTTGGCAACATGCCACTTTTTATTTTTGTTATTTATATTATTACATAGCTCACTTGCACATGCTCAATTGAAAAACTGTTAATATCAATAATATTTTATTTTTGAGATTATAAAAATTAAAGCAAACTAGAGATTTATATAAAATATAAACATTGGTTTTTTTCTTTATATATGACTTGAATTTGCATTATTTCTTTTTTTGCAATATTCAATAAATTTTTCAATAATTTTCTTGTTCACCCAAATCTCTTAAATAATCTTCCATGATAAATTTTTTAATTTGTGATTGATTTGATGTTATTGTTGATGATCTGATAACGTTGGTGGTAATCTGATAGTATTGATGAAGTTGAAAAATGATAAAAAATAATGGAAATGGTGATCATTTCGACAACATCATTACTAACAATATCATAATTGTTAATAGTATTATTGCTCATCATCATCAATAATAATAATATCCATTGGTTCTTCCTGATTCTATTATCCATTAAAATAGCTATTTCAGTGGCAACGATTATTGAACTGGATTAATAGGAAATATCAAAGAAATCATAATATATAGATAGAACCGCAATACTTATTGATTTTTTCTCTATAAGTTCCTATAATTTCCTTTAAATACGGGTCATAATCAAAACAAACAAAAAAAATAATAACTATTTCAGTATATTTACCAAATTAGCATCATTAAATTCATTCGTTAAATAATGACTTCTACACTAACATCTTTATTTAATTCGTGAGTCTCAACAGTGCCAATCAATTCATTAACTTCTATGCAAACATCCTTATTCAATTCATTAGCATCAGCCATTCCATTAACTCTATACACAATGTCCTTCCTAAGGATACTGGCTGCAACTTTTGATGATGGTTGCTACCACCTTTGCGTCATATAAAAATGATTGCAACCACTGGTTGCAACCACCTTTACGACCATTTTGTTTCCTTTTTTGGATTGCGACATGGAACACTAGTCCTTCCTTATTCAATTCATTAGAACAAATAGCATCAGCCACTTCATTAACTTCTACACCAACATCCTTATTTGATTCATTAGATTCAACAGCAACGGTCATTTCATTGACTTCTACACTGACACCAACATCCTTATTCAATTCATTAGGCTCAATAGCATCAGTCAATTGATCAACTTCTTTTACACAAACATTTTTATTCAATTCATTGACTTTTTCTACACAAATATCCATATTTAATTCATTAGACTCAACAGCAATGGCCATTTCCTTGACTTTTTATACTGGCACCGACATCCTTATCCAATTCATTAGATTAACTCAATGACAACAGTCATTTAATTGACTTTTAAATCACCAACATCCTTATTCGATCTAACAGAGAGGGATTGATTATAGAAAGAAAATTTTAAATTCAATTGAAACAATTTAAGATCAAAAAGGTGATGTGATAATGGTATCAATGAGCTTTGTCAAAAACATCAATTAAAGTCAATATAATAATCATATAGTAACAACAGTAATAATGTTTGTAGTAATTGTAACGGTAGTGCTGTAGTGCTGTTGATAAATTTCCACTTTAAGCAAAATTTTATTTTAATTATTATTAATTGTAGAAACATCAATATAAGTTAACATGGTATAATGCAACAAGGTGAATATTATATTAAAGCCACCTACACTTCCTGGTCATAAATATAAGGACACTTGCAGATCATTGGAAATAATTGAATAAAGAAACATGAAAAAAAATA